ACCGGAGGGCGGATGCTGGGGCTCCTGGCTCCCTTGTCCCCTGTGGGCGAGTCACTTGAGCTGCCCACGGGCAAGCGTCCCCCCGTGGAAAACAGCTGGACCTCTCTTCGTCTGCATCCCAGACAGGGTGCGGGGAGAACGGACTTACTAATGTCTGCAGAGAGGCTGAAACGCGGTATGTGGACCCCATCCAAAATCTTTGCGAGGCAGCAGAGCGTAAGCAGGGTGGTAGGTAGCCTTCGTGGTCGCAGCCAAGTAAGGAGCTCATCTCATACGGCTCCCACCGTATAAACAGCAGCTTCTCTCCGCGCCGCTGGGCGAGCCAAGAGGCGTTTTTCAGCTCCAAGTGCGGGTCCTGCTGCTCCGTACCCTCAACCAGCCCATCGGGAGCTTTGCTTTCTTCCCTGTAACGAGAGATCTGCTTGTTCCCCGAGGTTTATTTTTAAAAAACAAAACAACAGCCCTCCCCACCCCCCCCTCTTTTATTGTGGAGCTTGGCTTGGAGTGCCTGGAGCTGCTTTCGGCCCCGGCTGAGCCCCGGGGCTGTGCTGTGCTGGGACCAGTCTGCGGGACCTCGGGCAGCATCGCTGGTTTGATGCAAACCACTAATTTAGGAGCACCGGAGGTGAGGGGGTCGGTGTCTGCCATCGGTTCTGGAGCAGAGGGGAGCAGTGCCGGTGCCCCCTCCTGAGCCAGGAGCTCCCGGCGTGCCACGGGGCTGCTGGTACTGTCTGCATATCCTTCCCTTTTATTTATTTAGGTTTTTTAATCTAACGTTCCTCTTTAAGGGGTTGCACAGAGTTTATCGATGCCCAAGAGCAGCTCGGGGAGGGGGGGCAGATAGAGCAGCGATGCCCTGGGGCTGCTCTCGCACCCCGTGGTGGATGGTAGCGGGGATGCTCCAGTGCTGCCGTTGGGAGCTCCCACGGCTACAGGTACTCCTTTTCTTATCAGTGCCTGCATCCCTTTCCCAGGCCTTGGAGGGACACACAGGCTTCTCCTTCCTTGGGCCAAAAATTGCTGCTCTTTGGGGCAGTGGCCATGCGTTTGCTCTTCTCCATGCCGAGACCTTGGGGATGGCATCAGCCGCACCTGGACTGCCCCTGCTGGGGCACGGATGCGGATACCAGCAGTGGTAACGCTGGGATGTGCTGGGAGTTTCTTTCCAGGAAGAATTTAGGATGGAGATGGGGCTTTTCTGTGCCCCTGCTGCAGCCGTCGGCAGAACCGGCCGGGCACGGTGCTGGGGTGCAGCCCGGGGGTCCTGCGCTCCCAAACATCCCTGGAGGGTGACTTTTCAGGCTGGGTCTCTCCCCACTGCGGCGGTTCCCTCCCCTCCTGCGAGTCTGTGCAAGCTGCGCCCGCCAGAGCCTCGTGCTGTCCTGTAAAACCCTCCTGTGCTCAACAAGCGACACTTTTTGGTTCTTTTTCTGTTGTTTCTTTATTCCAGGGGTTTTTGCTTCTCTGTTGCTGATCTCCCCCCCATGCTTGGGGCATCCCCACCATCTTTATTGTGAACGCGCTGCCGCTTCCCGCGGCTTTTCCTCCCTCGCTGCGGTGTGGGTTTTGGAGCCGCTGCTTGTCCTCGGGCAGCAATAACGGGCTGAAAAGCCGGTGGTTTGGAGCAGGTGGCTTGGGGCTGCTGTGCCCTGTTTTCCAGTGAGTGAGAGCATGTGAAACTGGGAGGTTTGGGCTGAAAGGGGGTTCCCATATACACTGTGCGAGTGATGGCTGGATTTCTTGCTGCAGGATGTTACGGGTAAAACTCTTGCGTGGGCTCACAAATCCAAATGAAGGCGTTCGTTAGCGGGTTTGCTTTCCTTGCATGGGGGTCTGCAGCTCCCAAGAAGTTCCTGGGTCTTGGAGCCCCAGTGGAGCCCAGTTTGCTGCTGTGGCTGTGGCACCACGCCGGGTTTGGGGGGTTTGCTGCCTTTGCCGGGTGGTTTGGAGCAAACCACCTCCCCGGCCGTGTCTGCAGCACAGAAACCATCAAGGAAGAGATCGTCCCCATTGCTGTGTGTGTGCTCAGCCTCCCGCACAAGCAGGCTTGGAGCTGGGTGTTTCGGGGCACCCCAAATAAAGGGCAGCACCTTGGCCAGGGCGGCTGCGGGACGCGGTGAGCCCCAGTGCAGCCCCAGAGCTGCGAGAAGGGCTCTGCCATCAAGTGGGTGCCACGATGACCCTCGCAGAGGAGCCGAGGGGGGGACGGGAGGTGCGGGCACAGAGCCGGAGCGGCGCTGCCGTGCTGGGGCCAGCGTTGGCTTTTGGCTGCCGTGGGATGAAATTGCAGCCAGAGCCCTGGAGCTGCTCCAGCCCGGAATAACCGGGACCGGGGTCCAGCCGTAGCTTCAGTCCTCTCTTAAATTTGCCCCCTGCGTTTGTCGCTGGTGATGGGAGGGTGACAGTGCAACAGAGTGGGGGTGCTCCGAGTCTCTTGCTGTGGGTGGCCGGGCTGGGATGCGCTCGGGGCAGGGTGGTGCCGAGGACACCCATCTGCGCTGGGACGCAGCGCTTTCTGTGTCTGCCACCACCGACAGCCACCTCTGTCCCCTGGAGCCTCCCCATCCCTGTTGCCTCTCTCATCCGGTGCTGCCCACGTTCCCCAAAATTGTAGGTTGTGAAGCTTTCCTTATTTGCTGCGGGGTGGTAAAGCTGTTGTGGGAGGGGTTGAGCTGGGTTGCCTTCAGTTCAGACTTTCTGCTGGCTAAAAACTTGCTTGCTTTTTTTAATTTAAAAAAAAAAAAAGAGAGAACCTGAAGCCAGGCATGGGGTGTATAAACTGCCTAGAGGGCTGTCCCAAAGGATCGCAGCTTCTCCATCTCTTCAGCATTCAGCTGCCGGTGCCAAAGCTGATTTCTCCCGCTGTGCCGAAGTGTGAGCATCCCGGGATTTCCCCCATGGGAGAGGAGAGCGTGTCTCGCTCGCAGCCCCAGCTCCCCGCTGTCCCCACCGTCACGCTGCCTTGTAGCACCAGCTGGTTTCCACGCTCATACCAGTAAGGTGGAGGCAGCATCCAGGTGTGTGCGTGGCTGGACAAGGCAGCGTCCTTGCTGAAAGCGTGGGTTTGGGCTTGGCTTTCACAGATCCTCTGCAGCGGAGGAAGAGGAAGAGGAGGAGGAGCAGGACATGGTGGAGCAGAGCTGCTCTGAGCTGGCCCCGCTCGGAAGGTGTAGGATGTGGGAGGGAGAGGCACGGGGTGCGCAGGCAGCTCCTTGTTGGGGCAGGGAGGAGGATCTGTGGGCACAAACTTGAACATAAGAAGTTCCATCTGAAGCTGAGGAGGGCCTTCTCTGCTGTGAGGGCGGCAGAGCAGTGGCACAGGCTGCCCAGAGAGGTGGGGGAGTCTCCCCCTCTGGAGCCATCCCAAACCCGCCTGGACGCCGTCCTGTGCCACTGCTGGAGGTGCCCCTGCTCTGGCGGGGGGTGGGATGGGGGAGCTCCAGAGGTGCCTTCTCACCCCCACCAGTCTGTCAGTCTGTGATCCTGCTGGGGTTTGCCGTGGTTGGGTTTCCAGAGCCGGAGGGCGGTTGGGAAGCTCTGCCGGTGGGGTTTTGAGTCCACAGGAGGGTGAAAAAACCTGAGGAGCATCTCTGAAAGGAATCACCTGTAGCTGTGCCATGGCTGCAGAGGGCAGAGCAGGAGAGGGGACCCTAGAAGGGACAGGGACATTCCCAGTCCCGCTGGGATGCTCCTCTGGAGCTGCCACCTGCGAGGGTTGGGATTGCTGTGTGGGATACCAGGTTGGGAGAAAGGATTTGTTGATACAGACTGGTCCCATCCCACCCAACTCCACATCCGTCCCGTTCATCGGCAGCCGGCTGGGAGCAGGGAGAGTGCCCTCGGGCGCTTGGTTTTGGTGCTGAGCACGGTTGGTGGAGCTGGAGCCGGCCGCAGC